ATATCAGACATGTCCCTCTCTGAGCTGTAGTTTCATTGCTGCCTTCTGAAGTGAATTCTTCTGCGGGGAGGTGGGGATGTCCACGTAGTTGGAATTGGGGCCAGTCCTTCAGACCTCTTTATTGGTTCCCGGCTTCATTTCATGTATTTTTTTTTAAGAAATAGTTCATTGGCATATGCTTCATTTATCATGCAATGTAATCATTCAGTCATATTAAGAAGATTTGTGCAATCATCAGTTTCAGTACATTTTCTTCTCCTACTTATTGTTAACTCCCATTTCCCCTTATCCTGCCCTGGCATACCCCTATGAAATTATCATTCTCACTATGTCTCTATAGCTCTTAACTACCCTGGATTTACTATAGAGAAAATCATACAAACCACCAGCAGGAAGCAACCAAGCAAAGAAACAACCCCCCAAACAATGGTTAGACAAAACATAGAAAAGCCTAAATTTTAAAAAAAAGCAGAAAATATTAAAAACTGAAACAATTTTAAAATGAATCAAAAAGGAAATCAAATGAGAAGGCATTACATTTTACCCCAACTACATCTGCCATAAGGCTCTTTCCTAGGTGTTTCATCTTTTGTGTGGGTGTTATGAGTGCTATTGTTTTCTTGATGCCTTTTTAGGAGCTCTCTTTGTTGGTGCACAGGAATCTGATTCATTTCTGCCTGGTTTGTCATATCTTATGCTACTTTACCAAACTCTCAATTGTTTCCCACAGTTTTTTTCTGGAGTCTTGGGGTTCTTTCTATATCAAGCCCACCATTTACAAATAGCGAGAACTTCCTTTCTTCTTTGCCTAGCTATATTTCCTTGATAGCTCATCAGTTTTCTACTGCTTTTGGCAAAGACTTCCAGCATGATGTTGACTAAGGATGGTGATAAAGGGACACCACTGTCTAGTTCCCATTTTTAAGGGAAATGTTTTCAGTTTTTTTCCATTGAGTGTGATATTAGCTGTTGGATTTTCGTGTAAGGTATTTATTATGTGGAGGAATTTCTCTTCCATTCCTATTTCACTATTTTTTTTAGCAATGGATGTTGGATATTGTCCGATGTGTTTTCTACATCTATTTATATGATCACGTTCTTATTTTTTGTCTTGTCTATGTGGTGGATGACACTGATTGTTTTCCAAATGTGTAACCATCCTTGCATTACAGGTATGCATACCCCTCGGTCATGATGAAAACATTTTTTGGTATGTTGTTAGATTCTGTTGGCCAGACTTTTGTTGAGAATTTGTCATCTATGTTCATGAGGGATACGGGGCTGTAGTTCTCTGTCTTTGTGAGACCTCTCCCTGGTTTTGCTGTCAGGGCTATGCTTGTTTCAGAGAATGAGTTCAGGAGTGTTGTCCCTTTCTATATTTTGAATTGTCTGTGTCAAATGGTGACAGCTGTACTTGGTAGAAGTCTCCTGTGAAACACTCTGGTCTTGGGCTTTTCTTGGCTGGAAGCTTTTTTTTTT